TAAGTGTGGCTTTTAGTGCCGTTCTTTCTGAATTGGACTGCGTTTGCAAAGGAGGCTCTTTTTTCAAAGAAAGGGTTCAGTTTTTGTAAGACTGTAAGAACATGACATCATTTAAAAATATTCAAATAGATAAATACAGGCCATTTACTTTGTAGCATGTCAAGGGCTACGTCTTAACCTCCGAGGCTGCTTTGATCTTATCTGTGCAGGTTTAGTGGCAGCAAACATCGTACAACTTTTCAGCGCGCGTTCAGCGATTGTCAGGAAGAACAGAAAAATCAATTCCTACTTCAACGTGACAAAGACGGGCCTCTGTGCGCTGCAGCCTCGTGGTTCGACCATCCGTCTCATCTCGCTCAAACCGCTCTGAGGTAAAGGCCGACCTTTAATACGTCGTCTCTGCGTGAACATTTATTCTGCCTGGTTTGTTTCAGTAGAGAGTCGTAGGTGCCCTCTCGGTTTTAGTTTGCAGGCGAGTTTAGGAACGTTAAAATCTCAACTAGTTCATTATAACAACCCTCCTTGCCAACTAAAATAAAAAAAATGGCTGTGTTTACTCCACAGCCTGTGTATGGCTGTGTATACTCCAATTAGTGTATAATCTTCATTTTGTGCTTTGGATGTTATTTATTGGGCTCTACTTTCATTGTTTGGTTGTTTTGTAGTAATTCAAGAAGAAAGAATGCAAACAAGCATTAATCAGTTGAAAATTATCTTTCCATTGAACCAAATGCAAAAATAATAAATCATTTAACATTGAATTTATAACTAAATGCTCTCTCCCTTCCTTTTTCTTTCTGAGCTACGGTACTGTGTGTTTCCACCCAGTTGAAACCGCGACAGACGTACGGACCATGGTCCTATTCGTTGACCCGCTGTAAAAAGCCTCCCGTGGGAACCGCTTTCCTCCACAGGAGGGGATAGATTCCTCCGCTGCTGGCTCAGCTGTCTTGCCGTCTTTCTACAAGGTCACAGTTGAAGGATGTTTCTGCTCATTAGAGGGAATTACACTGACGTTTCACCGTCTGCACACTTCATCTTATCTATTACCCCTCAATAGGAGACAAATACTTTGATACACGAGTAAAAAACACCGTCCTACTGATGAAATGGCAAGTGTGGTAAAGTAATAACAACACAGCACATAGTAATATAGATATCATTAATTCAGTTATTTTCTTTGCCATTTTATGTTTACAGAATACAACGACAGAAAAACTCCTCTGCGCTTCAAATTTCTCATCCAACTTCATTTATATTCTTTTTTACCCTCGCATCAAAGCTCTTTGCCTTTTTCTGACAGATCTTTCCTTTTCTTCTTTGCCCCTCCACTGAGCCGCAGTCGGACTCATTAATATAATACTGTTACAGTAACAACATCTGTACCCTGACCCACACCCTGCACTGTGCGGGTTGATATAAATGTTTATTTGATACCAGTATGGACACATACTTGCCAGCCATTGGGGCTGCTTGTTTCCTTGTGCATGTATTGACTCTTTTCTTTGCTATGGCAACAGGGGCGCATGCACATGCTGCGGCCGATAGCTCCACTGATTTTTGACTGCTGTGCCCACGACGCGAGTCCCACCTCATGCTGCACTGGGACCAGTGGGACCAGAGGAGGCTGACTGTTCACATCAATGATGCTCTGTTCTCAAACAGTCAAAGTTGACGATCCAGGTCTCCTTGCTGTACGTTTTTACATTACAGGTCATTTAGCTGACGCTTTTATCCAAAGCAACTTACATTAAGTTTTTAACCCATGGAGCAATTAGGGTTAGGTGTCTTGCTCAGGGACACTTCAGCATGGGACATGGGGCAGCCGGGCCTCGAACCACCAACTACCGCTACCGCTGCACAACGACGACGTTTTAATGTTACGATCTCTGCCCAATAGCGCAGAAAAATGTGACAGGGACACTTTCCTTTTGTTTTTGGGGGACGATTGGGGACAAACCCACACAGAAAGTATGGCTGATTGATTCTTTTCTTTGGATAGTTTGTTGTTATCAGAGACCATCAATAGAACCAGAACTCCAAATTAATCTCATTTTAGGCTGCATCGTGGGAGGGTAATGCTGAAAGCTGTGGCATTCTCATGCAAATAGCAATAGTAAGAATTCCCATAAAGTGTCTTCCTCGTTCACCCCAGATAGATCGTAGTCATCAAAGAATCGCTCGCCATAGGCTGCAGGGAGAGAAAACAGAAAGACGTGTATTCAGACAAATAGCGAGGCCAGATGAAAATAATATGTGCCTCTCCTCAGCTGTTTAGCTCCAGCCATGCTCTTCATGCCCTACTCAAAATGTGCAGACAAAATGAGATGAGAGAAGGTCATTAAAGATGCCTCTGTGACTCTGGCGCTGAGAGGTGTGAAGGAGAGACGGAAAGCGTGATTGCGAGACAGAATTACAGGAAGGGATCTCTGTGACTCCCAGGAGAGGCCGTCAACATGAAGGCAAATGGTTACAGCGGATAAATGGCAGAGATTATGTTAAGAGGAGGAGATGGTTGAGGCGGGAGCAGGGGAAGGGATGCAGCGGTCCTCTAAGGACGGGCCTACTCTCCAAAACAAAATCCTGTCCACTTTGAGGGCAAAATGTGTGCTCTTGTTATTGCAAAGGTAGATGTAACCAAGTACAATTAGGCCCATCTTTGTACTTTCCTTTTAAAATGTTTTGATTTGATGTAACCAAACACTTTTGGGAGTGAAATATTCCCTATTAATAAAGTTAAGACTAGCTTCAACTTTAAAAGCCATAATTATTATATTCCATCGTAAATATATTATTTGAAATGGGCCATTCTGCATAATGAGTAAACTTAGGACGTGAATTATATTTTGATGCCAAGTAGTAGTAATATATTAAATGCAAAACGAAATTTCCTTGAAACAATAGTGCGGTCGCTGCGGTCAAATGTTGACCATGAAACCGACGAAATAGACGAAAATGCTTCAGCGTGATGGTAAATAATGGGAAACACCGGAGCGCGGATGAACCGGACCTCCGTTTTTTTTTTTCACGCTCGAATTTCACTGCAACCGGAGTTACTGTGAGCTCGAGCAAAGTGGAAAATGTGATGCACACGCATCTTGTGAGTGACAGCGTGGGCATGCTGGCATGCTCTCTGTTTGCATACACACGTGCGGGTGTCGGCTCCAGTCGCCACCATTTATCATTCTCTGGAAGGTCAGCGGCCATTGCCGATTAGCACAATAGGTGGTTAAGAGCTCAGCGAGTCCGAAGACTCGGCGACGGAGAACTTTCTCCACGTTTCTTAAAGTTAATGTCAGCTAGCAGCAAAACGCTGACGCATCTCAGCATTTGTGGGGAAGTTTGTTTACCCTTTGAGCAGTTTATTTTAAAGGAGAACATCCCAGAGGAAACGTTTGCTCATTATGTGGAGGACTACCACCAGCAGACCTAATTCTTTTCTATTCAGACTTTAAAAATCCTGCGGAAGGAGTTTGACTGTCTATTGGTGAGGGTTTAACAAAAGAAGGATGTAGCATCCAGTGTTTTTGAACCATGAGTTTCTCTAGAGACACAAAGGGTTTTCCTTCTTCCTCAATAAATTATTACTCTTAGTAATTACCAAAAATGTTCAATATGATTCATCCCCCACTGAGTAGAATTAGAGACATCCTGATCTGTATCATCTTCTTGTCAGTTTGGTTACTAGATGGCTGTTTAAATAATTGTCAAAGATGACATAATTTGGCAAACCGTGCTGTTTTTTAAAGAGCAAAATAGTAAAATCAGTGTTTGAATATTAGATCTGCAGACTGCGTGGCCCTTCTTAATCATCCTCTTTTTAATGGGAAATAATACTGTTTGTGTGATTGTTATTTGCTCCACAGCCTTTATGAATCTAATCCTGGGTACTTGGAGAGGTGCCAAGAACATCAATGGATGCTATCTTGTTAAATATGATATTTAAATAAAAAGTACTGAATAGACAGTTACCTTATTAATCCCACAAGGGGACATTCTCTTTCGCTACTGCAGCATTTTCTCATTTGAATGAGAAAGCGTGTCCAAACGTTTTCACTTGTACTGTAAATTAAATAAAACAATGTTTTATTCACTAACTAAACAGTAGTGCAGAGATCCAACCAAACCAGTGTCACCGTGTTGTAGTTGTGTGATGGATTCATTGTAGAGTCTTATTGCAGTGGACAGGAATGATCTCCTGTATCTGTCCTTGGGACAGATAAAGTAGGAGGTGGTCCAGTTACTTTATGGGAACTAAGAGGAAGACGATGCTCCACAAAATCTGATTTGTGGGGATGAAGGCACCCATTGATTGCAGGGGCCATGGGATTCGTCACCATCATCAGGCCGCACGTTGGGCTCTGGAAGGAGCTCTTTTCCCGACACGTTATCCACATGAATGAAATGCTGTAGGTTCCAAGCTGCTTCAGGCTGGATCGGAAAAAGATAGTAGCGGCTTCTCCTGCAGGACGACCGAAAGCAGAGGAGCAGTGCTGCACAAATGTGCACAGGGCAGCCGGAGTCTCAAAGCCGCGGCGGCATCGGTCGAACTCAACGACGAGTACACTGAAATGCTTTTAACCGCGGGTCCCTCTGGAAGAAAAACCGAAATGGTAGTAAATCAAGTGAAGTGGACGGCAGGACGAGCCAAGACACAAAGGGCCGCGGTGAAAGAGTGAGTGTGTGTCTGCTGTGTATGTAGTAATGTCTAAACATATCTATGATCATGCCTTCTGCAGACATTCATTTAGCTTTTACTCGATGTTGTTTGGTTGCACAAACTGGTTTGAAACCCAAATCCAGCCAGTCTCTTCCAAATGTTTTCCCAATGAGTTCACATGAGTCAGATCTCGTATGTAGTCACTGCCAAAGAAGCCTCAGAGATCCGGCCGGAATAGTTTAGAATTTGCTCACAATATAGGTCCTTTCAAATCTCTAATGATGCAATTAAATAATTGACAAATTAAAAACTATATGCGAGACACATTTGATTAAGAACCTTAGCGCAAAAGTATGTAGTTTTATTTTGATGAATTTGGGTAAGTATGTGCTTTTTATAAATAGACGTGTTTGCGTATCGCAACATTCATATTTTATGATTTCCTCGCCTTTCTATTGCGTTCCCATTTTGACAAAGCATAAGGACATTATGTGAGGTGCTAGTTGTAGCCTTGCCAATCTCTTATGGGAAACAAAATCGTTAACCAATGCTGATCTTATGAATTTGATTTTGCAATGCAACCTAGTGTCGGCTGTTTTGTTTCGTACTGATAAGTCTTTCATGATATTCATCAATCAAGAGGCTCTAGAGAGGAACCGAGGATGTCATGGTACCCTGCTGAATCCCTGACAGGAAATAACAGTTTATAACCCAAACGTTGATATCTCAAAAAAGAAATCCGTTCTTAACTATGTACAAACGTCATTTTACAGCACAGAAATAGTGCATGTATATTGTTACTGCAACTCAAAATCAACTCAAAGTTTTCTATACTTAACTGCTTAACCATTTTTTGATTATTTATTCTGCGCCCCATCTAGTGCAACTGTTGTCTGTAAATATCTTTTAGTGAAGGAGTGCCGGAGCTTTTCCATCTGTCCCACGGACTATTACATTTCCCTCGCCGTCCGAGGACCAAACAACCTCTGTTTTCAAAGGTCAGCCACATTGACACAGACAAATGGAGAGCTAGAGCTACTGTGAGAGATATAGACGGTGCTTATTCATTCAATTCCTTCACCTCTTTAGGGTACCTTGCTGGCCTTGCTGCACCAACCGTATACACGACATGTATATTTAGATGCATTTGTTCTTATCATGAATGCAATAGTTGGATTCCCATCTGCTGTTTTCATCCATGTGTGGGTTCAGCTGTCTGTGACTGCTTTGAGAAAGACGCTTGCATGCAGTCACATCATACAATTAATCTCAATTAAACACAAAATGTGTGTTTTTTTTACACAAGCCGTCGCACATGGCAAGTCTTCGGTATCAGCAGAGAGAATATGAGATGAATTATTGTAGTGTTTCCCACAACCACCGTCGCTTTAATGCACGGGCGACGGATGATGTCAAAGGTCTCACGAGGCTCCGGGAAAACAAATATAACAGTGTTTGACTTTGTGTGGGCGGCCTTCTCCTGACCTTTGGCCTGAAAGGCCCCAAAAAAACGCTCTCCAAATGGAGAAAAGAAAAAAATAGAAAAGGTGGATTCGTGACACCTCGTCCAAAGCTCTGATCTGCTCTTGTCACGGGGTGACAGCCAAAACAAAGGTAGGACCCAAACGCAGGATTCAGAAGATAAAAAAAAAGATTTTATTTTCGGCAGCAAATGGATGTAAATGGGCAGCGCTGAATCCGTGGCCGGGGGAAGACGCTGGAGAAGCAGGCAGGCACAAGGGTCCGGGCGGCAGGAGCGATGCAATTGATGGAAGCCACGCTGGAGGGAGAGGCAGTGATCCGGCTGGCTGGAGGGGATTCTCCCGAGCCACGGAGGGCGAGAGGGGAAGCCGGGGAATCCGTCAGGCTCAGGTGGAAGCAGGCTGGGACGAGGCTGAAACACGGGGACAAGGTCAATGCACAAAAAAAAACTCTTTCATCGAAAAATCAATCTCTGGTGAGCGCTAGCCAAGTTACCACTAGGAGGGCAAAACGATCTGGCGACGGCTGGTGCTCCTGCTGCTCCTTTAAGAAGGGTTCCTGACTGATTGTATATGCAGGACAGGTGTGACAGCAGGCAGCCACCAGACTCCGCCCAGGTAACCGAGGAAACCTGCTCGCCCAGCATGAAACTCCGAAACACCTCCAAGCCAAGTCAGATCATGACAGATCTGGCGTGACTCGTTAGCTACGAGTGATGGTTGGACAAACGCTGGCGAGGGGGGGGGGTTAGCAGGCAGTTGTCCGTCAGTCGTTCGCAAACTTGTCCTTCACTAGTGAAAATCTCCATGCTAAAACGCAGTGAGTGATCGTGCAATGTTTATCTAGGTCGCTGATGTAATGTCGAAAATAACTTGCCTTCCCCAAAGCAACCTGCCGGGGAGAAAACGTCATGACAAGTGATGATGGGCTACGACCAAATGCAAGTCTGTCCCTCTTTCCTTCCCTTTTAAAGATGAATAATGCTCGTTCCGGGCTTTGAGTTCAGACCACACGCCTATTTCTGGATATCTGTGTTAAAAAACAACAACCCCACACCGTTAATTTCAATTAATTTGTCGAGCTCCAGATCACATCGACCTCCCTCTGCTGTTCTCTCACATCCCAACGAATCACAGCGTGCAAATCCCCTCCGCTCAGCTGCTCCGACGATACGTCAGGTATCATCAGCCGTCTGAGGTTTGAACACGGCGAGCTGGCTGACGTGGCACCATTTATTTTCAGGGCACCTTAAAATGGCACATGATGGATAGTTTGACCAACATTAAAATCTCATGCCACTGCACCAATAGCGATAATGTGATATGATAATACATGACATGTAAATGGCCCATTTGGCTGCATGCTGTATCCTTTAGTAGGTGGCATTTTCTGATTGTAAACTGACCGCGCAAAGCTGATTTGATTTCATGATTTTTACTGTGTTAAAATGTATTAAAATATTGCGTAACTATTTACTTCTTCTTCACCGCTGGTATTAATCAATGTCCCCGTGTCAGTAGATGTCTCCCTGCTGCCCCTTCATCATCATCATCATCATCAGTGGGGAGTAAATCGGAACCGTCTTCGTCTCTCCGCTCTCACAAGCCTCCAATCCACGTTTTCTCATCTCACTCTTTCAAATCATCACGTCTGTCCATCCCTTCCTTTTGGGAATGGGTTGCAGTTAAAAGGTTTCATTGCACTTAACAACGTACTGAGTTACCGTAGTTACCGTGTCTCCACCCGGTTCCCGACACCGTCTCTGCCGCTAGCTGTCTGCATTGCTCTCCTTTGCTGTGTGTTTGAGTTAAACACACAGCAAAGGAGGTGCACACTGCAGCGTGAAAATGACTTAAACCAAAATCCTTGAAAGAAAAAACGAAACAAAAAGACCTGATAAGGCCTGAGCTTATCAAAGCAGCACAGCTCGACCTTTTGGTGCTGCGAACGCGCTCGTCAAGTTAACTTTTGTGACTTAGGAGAGGACGATGGAAATGTCAGTGGCCGATGTGTCCTCTCCGTAATAAACTATCACCATGTGCTGGTATGAATTTTTCATTTAAAAACAATGCATGCAGCCGTTTTTTGTCTCCGTGTGGAGCGCTGCTTTTATACAAGACGGAAATAATTGGAACACACGTTCGATACAACACATTTAATTGCTCAATTTGATTTTGTATCACCAGGTTCTCTCCCAGTTCTCCCAGTTGGTGGCAATTTATGTGTGCACTAGAACACAGTACACAGTTCACTGTTGTTGTGTGGTTATGGATAAGAATAGATGTTTCTGGTGTTTGTTGTGAATGTGACAAAAGGGATGATGGAAACTTGTGGAGCTTGTAAAACTGCAAAAACTAAATATGATAACAAACTTCTGCTCTCAAATAAATTCTAAATATTTGTTCTGTTAAAAGAAATGTCTGGCAGAATTTGATATATTAGTAACATATTCCTTCAATAGGTTTAAAATGATCAGCAGACGGTCAGCAGAACCCCAAATCTGTGGCTGGAAATCGTCTCCAACATATGTAGTATTGGTTTTCTGTTCAAGTAACATTTGCCACAACGCAGTGCCACGCTGTCTAAAGAAATGACTGTTACAGCAATAAATGCCTACAGACACCACATGCTTACAGAACTACTGGAGGTGCAGAAGCAAAGGGGGCACATTTGTTAAGAACGCTGCTTTTCTGGAGAGTTAAGTTCATTCAACACGTTCAACACCAGGGGAATTTGTAATGCAAAACTATAACTTTCTAACTCGAATGTTGCAGTCATGTGGGTGTTTTTTTTTTAAAGAAAACCATAGGTGTGATTGTCTTGCGATGTCATCTGCCGCTAATGTGCCCGGCCCTCAAACCATCATTAAAAATGGAACGATAGATTCTCGGCATGTCTGGTTTGCCTAGAAGGTGCTGTTACACACCATCATCCCCTCTTCTGTCCGCCTTATATTCTAATGATAAAAAAAGCTAACTAAAATATATATTTGTTCCCCCTTTTTTTTTCAAACATTTTTGATGGCAACAAATGTGCTTTGGACCAATTGAAAAATCGAAAAATATAGAATAACGCCATCTTTGTGCTTAATAGGGTTTCTCTCTCGCTGCCCTTCACGAGGACGCAGACCCTCCGATGGCTCAATGGTGTTGTGGTCCAGTGGAGCGAGGCAGCAGGGTTTAAACAGGCTCAGGCTCTCCCCATGTGACCCATCGAGCACGCAGCAGGCCGCTCTGCTCCCTGTCACTGTTTTGTCTGATCCGTGAAAATCGGCGGAAATGGGAAGAAACGTCCGCCGACCTGTTGAGAGACGCGGCGATGTCGGCGCGCATCGATCCTGGTCGCGCGAGTTCGCCCGAGCGGTTATCTCATCGCCTCTGGCCGGCGGCACGGACTCGCTGGATGGAAAAAGTTGCATCAAAGGCAGGATTAGGATCAGACCATTTGCCAATTAGCACTCCCGCCCACACGGGGCTTCAGACAGCGTGGGGCTGATAAATAATTCAGACTGAGATAATAATGAGCCGTGAGGAGATGCACCTCTGGCCACTGTCTCCGGGCACAGCTGGACGCCACGCACAGCAACGAGCTACCGTTTCCTTCCTTTCGCTGTTCACAACTCCCCCGCCTCCCCCGCCCACCTCTACTCTTGCATGTCTCCGAAATGTGAGCAAATTAATCACACGACTAAATGTTGACTGGAAGGTGTGTGCAAGCATCCACCCATGCACCACGCACAAGATGCAGCACAATGGCAGAATCTCGTTTTAGCGTGACAGCGAGGTTGAAAGGGGGAAAAAAAACTCACCTCAAAGCATCAATTATTTACAGTGAGATCAAATTAAAACTGCATCTTCCGAATGAAATGTCTGATAAGGCCCCTTTTGTATAAAGTGACGTGTTGTTTGGCAGCTCCGGGTGGTGAAATGAAGGTAAATAAAAAAGAACTGTAGCAACAAGAGGACAACTAATTTGCAGTGTTGAGTTAAAAAGTATTTTTTGCATTTTAGCTCCAAAGAATCTGTGTCAAAAAAACATGTGGCCGTATACAAAATGCAGCATTGGATCTGTCATTTAAATCAAGTTATTTAAGTAAATATGTGGAAAATCAGCCTTTGCTAACCCCCCCCCCCCCCCCCCCCCCCGAAGGCAGCAGGGATAATAATAGCGTTCAACCTTCTAGCTGCTCCATTAACTCTTATGTAATTGTCTGAGTTCTTCCTTTTTAGGTCATGGTGGGACGCTGCCCAGTAGTGATACTCAGCTGGAGAAGTTTGAAGGGGATGTGCGTTACGTTTTTAAAAGCGACAGCTTTGTGATACCTGCAGAGTAGCGTTAGCACATTAACCAGCCGGTCTAACTACCGACGGCAAACTCAATGTATACGTATCCTACAATGATATTTAATGATGATATTGATATTTAATGAGTAAAATGAACAATGCTTAGAGTTAGTGCTTGTTTTGAAACTTTGTCTGTGGGGTTTGCGCACTGCTATAGAAAATTGCACCATGAATGATACACGGACCGACTGAAGAAGAATCACTTGCTCACTGGCACGTTTCAGCTGCAAGATTAATATCCTGAAAAGTATTTTTTCTTTATCACACCTTCACAAAAACCCCAAAGACTGATGATGTGATGATCAGGTAATGCCTTTTCACAGAGCTTTTGTGCCGCCTGAAAAAGTTTTTATAAAGCACAATTTTCCATATTTTTAAACATGCTGTGCAGTCGCAGTGGTTATCTCCAATGAGAGCAGCGTTTTGAAGACATAATGGTTGAAAACGTCGGTTAAGATACGGCATAAGGAATGATGAAGGCTACGTTTTTTTTCCCACCACATTTGTCTAAATTGTATGTCTTGGTGAAAATATGAAAGGTTATTTATTTTCAGAAGCTTTTCTTTCTTGAGCAACGTCCTCATTTATATGGCCTGTCCACCCGTTTAATCTCTATATTCTAGTTTTGGTGAGAGTCATTTACAATGTGTCCGCCCTGTAATCTGTTTTTCTCTTCTTGCCATCCATAAGGGGAAACTGCGACACATCAGCTGGTTCATAAATTTCTGCTTTGCTGAAATATCTAGACGAATTCCAAATGTCTCAAATCCGCAGGGGGACTTTCGCATTTCGGGGAGCTCGCTGCAGAGTTACACTGCGACTGCGTCAACGCCGACAAACTTAATCTTTACTTCCTTAAAAAGTATCAGGTGAAAACAGGTGACACCTCGTGCAGAAAGTGAGAGAGACAAAGGAGCACCGGAGGAAGCTGCGTAGCAGAAGATGTCAATTGGCTTGTTTTCACTAATGCAATTGTGTTTTTTACTAAGCCAGATACTAGGATTGTTAATAGTTACACCTTAACAAACAGCAAGTAAAAAATAAATAAATTAAGCTGAACAGTCAGCCTATCTCAGGTGACTTTGGGGCTGAACGCTTTCACTTTAATTGCCAGGCGGGGGGGGCGATGCGCTGCAACGCGTCTGGTGTGTTGTTGGGTCGTATCAATCGTTCGCTGACAACAAGCTGTACACGTTCTGCTTTAGCGCGGCCGCAGCTGAATGTTGACAACAAGCGAGTAAACAAGGCAATGCCACCGCGCTACAGGGGGAGAAAGATGCAGAATCACTGACGTTTTACTGCGTCAGTCTCTTTGGGGGGGTTTTCATCCGTCTCAGCTCCGATGTGCTTTGATTCCCACCATCACCGACTGGGCTATTTGGATACAAGAAAAAATAGAGACCTTTTTAATATGGGCGATACTCCTCTTTAAATCTGAAATGCTGATTCACGGCGTGCAGAGCTGCCAGAAGTAAAGCCAGTAGATTTTTTGCTCCTTCATTATGCATTAGTGTGTGTGTGTGTGTGTGTGTACACACGTGTGGCCAGTGCGTGTATCCCCAACTCGCGTACTCGTGCGACCGTGTGCGTGATCACCCGTGCATTGTGCCTCTTAGGGTTTTCCTGCGTCTGTGCTGTGAGAAGCAGGCATGCGGATGTCTGATCCAATCACTCTCAGCTCTGGAGGGCCTGAGGCCTGAAACAGCGAGAGACTTGTGAGTGAAAACAACAGGAAACAGAGCGAGGAACAGTGTGTGGGCTGTGCATCTGTAGTCATGGGTTTGCTTTTGAGGCACCGCGCGTCAGTTTGGTCACGGCCACCACGTTGATGACACTCTTGCCAACAACTGCTACGTAACATAACCTGCTCTTCATTTATAATGATTGCGCTGACTCTAAAACCGCCATCCAGCTCACAGATTGAACTGCAATGAGTGTTGTCACCCACGCCTTTAATCCAAGTCATAATCATATCTAATACTGTGGTTTGACTATTAAAGACTGTCAGTTTTGTTGCTGTCAGTAATATCATGTATAATAATACCTTTTGAAGGTACTGGGAAGGAAAAAGGGGGTTCTTAATGATGGTTTGCATCACTTCTATTAAGTCATCGATCTAAAGAAAAGCCTGAAAACAAGCTAACACCAAACTAAGTGAGATCCAAAGTGCATTATCAGTTCATGTCCGATCTTCGATTAATTTATAATACGGTTACCAGCGAAATTATAAATAGTAAGTAAATAGCTGCCTTTCAGCACAAAGAAGTATTAGCCACCAAACGTTGTGTATCTCATTTCAATAGTCTGGAGAAAAATAGTCCCTGTGTGTGCATGTAAACAGCATCCGCACGATCTCATTCATTCACATCGCTCATCACGTCCACCTCAATTGTCCGGTTGCGGTCTTTATGGAAGTAAGTCTCCTCTTCAGCATAATTTTCATTTAATAAATCATAGGGCTTTTGGGCACATTTTGAAAGTCATTAATTGTGATTAATTGCAACTAAAAGATTAAATCTTTATTTATAAATAATAAATAATAATATAAATAATAATATAATAATCCTATACATACATTTTACAAACCATCCAACAGAGGCTGCCTTAAGGCGGGCTTACAGTGATTGACAGGTTGCTGCCACTACCGGATCTGGATCCAGCATCACTACCTCGGGCCTCTGTTCCAAATAGGGTCACTGAAGTATTCAAAGATGGGGGAGGAAGAGACACCCAAAACTCCAGGCTTGATAAATGTCAGTCCACAAACCAAGTGGTCATGCCACGATGACACTTCCTAGACCTTATGGTATTACTACATGGGACCATATCCATTTGGTCACACACATTCATACATACATATTTAAAAAAAGACCAGACTACAAGGTTGCTTTTGAATAGTGATTGACCTTTGATTACCATGTCAGCATCGAGCCTTACTCCATAGCAAGTAGTAAACAACAGGTCAAACGCCGAGCACAGTGAAGCAGTGGGTGGTAGAGTATCCGAAGCATTTGTCGCAGTAGATCTCCTGAGGATTTCACATCCCTTTTATTGCTTTTACAACCATGCTTCCTTTCTTATCTGTTTCATTACTCTCCCAATTATTCTCCACAGCTTCCTCCGGCTAACCTCTCCTCGCCCATTTCATCATTTCAGGCCCTACGTGTCTCATTTTGCTTTGATATATCAAAAGGAATATGTGAATACAATCTTTTGAGATGCTGCAATTCGGTCTGACTCCCTGTACTGCTCTCATTACTACATACATATTACTGGTATGCCTGCACACTAACACTACAATCTGCTTAAATTAGATGATTACAGAATGCCATTACTTGCCACCTTCACCTGCTGACTATTTTTCAAACGCTAAAAAGCTTTTCTTCACATGCGGTGAAGGTCACACGCTTCCTGATTGCAGAAGTATTGAGAGTGGGCGGAACGTAATGAAGACTTTTTGGTCTTGGCAATTGTCAATTTGTTTTCTTAGAAACACTGCGTCTCAATATCAACGATGACCATGAAGGAACTGTGCCTTTTTCATGGTTTCGGCGGCCCACGCCTTTCCCAAATGCATCAGTCAGGTATTCTCAGGTGAACTCCTGTGTCGCCCTCTGATGTGAGTCCACAAGCTGCAGAAACACGGCAACTTTTTCTTTGTCATTTTGGTTCATTTGAGCAGATGAAAACAAAACCAGTAGCTCCAAATGTCTTGATTGAGTTCCCACAGATCTCTTAAAGACGGAAGCAGCTAGATGAACTTATGTAATGCACCAACAATGTAATTTTTGAGGCCGATTCATTCTTCATAAAAGTCTCTCTTTATTACAGCAAAGCCTCCAGACACAATGCCCCGGGTGGGTTGCAAACCGCGAAGGCAAATCCCGTTAAAACGTATTGTTCTGCATACTGACGGAGTTTTTTCCGGCTCTGGTTTCGCCTTTTTGGGCACTTGTCCCTCCGTGTTTTCAGCAGCACTGCTGCTACGCTTCAGCCGCGACTTCATTGTTTGAGCTTTCAAGGCGGCAGTGATCGACTGGTGGCGCGTGCCAGCTTGGGTCAAAAGATGATGAAATGGCTGCTAAATTGAAGTATATTAATAGAAAAACGCATTTACCCAATGGAGTACCTTCCGTACCCCCATTTCATGCAGCTGGATCATATTCTTAACGTCTCATAACCGTAATGTTTTTCATTCAAGCCGTTCAAGACGCAATCTCTTTACTTTTTAAAATGAATTAATTTAGTTGGAAGTCATTTGATATTTGGATAACCGCTCAATGAAGACCGAGAACCATCAGTTTAAATAGAAACTGACTCACGTCTCTGTCTCTAGGGGGGATTTTGAAGACTGCCTATCAGCTTTGATCCAGATGTGTGGTAGTTTTCCAATTATTTCAGGCCTCAGTTGTTTCCAGTGACATTTACTTGTGGCATTTTTGGATGAATAAATATGAAAGGCTTTGTGTGTTGTGCTTTTTGGAAATAAAACCAGTTTAAATGAAGGGTATGGAATGTCCTCCAGAAGGGAGAATTCTTTCTTTAAGCCCCCCATGATTGATCGAATCACCATTTAATTTTTCCTCCTTTCCCTTCCTGTCACACACCCACACCATGTGTCAGTCTCATACTGCCTGAACCGCATTTATTATTCACAACCTCTACGAGTATCCTCAACTTCCCCGAGGTTATGTCCTGAACAGAGGACTAGAATTTGGATTCGGGTTTGGATTTGAAGGAGTTATTACTGCAGAGCGAGAGAACCTTTGTGTGTGTGTGTGTGTGTGTGTGTGTGTGTGAGCCAAACGATCGATTTCATGTATAGTTTATTCGACTTGGCTCTGGCGCTGTGTTCTGCCCCTCTATTGCAGTAGAATCCTTTTGCCGCATTAAAAAATGATCAGCCTCTTATATCTGCTAATATGATGATTCCTGCAGGGCATTTGCAATGAATAGAAAGACAAAAAAACGAACCCACAGACGAAGCAAGGGAATGCAACCTCGCTTCATTTATTTTAAAGGCTGATTAAAAAGCCTGGGTGTGCCCGCTGGTTTTGGAACGATGCCTCCCCCTGGACTCGTTCAACTATTAGAACAACATAAGAAATACCACCAGAGGTCCCTAATGCTTCTGCCCGTGGCTCATATGTGGACAGGCAATGAGCAAAAGAGAAGCACAGGTTTTAAAATCCCTTAAACAAGAAACTGGGCTTGAAAAGATGGTTTCGATTGCACAGCGATAATGCAATCGTACCGCAGCTAAGCAACTGTTACTAGGCGCAACCGGGCCGGACCAGACTGTAAACGTCTCACATGGTTGCCTTGCAAGAACTGGATACCAGACACCAACCCGGCCAACTGTCATTTGAATGAAAGTCAGCTATTGACCAACTGCACAGGCATTAGTATTCTTCTACCGTCACACGCAGGACAGACATTTCACATCCTGCTTTGCAGAAGTTTTTTTGCAAAATAAACCTTTAATGTGTTGTTTCTAAACCAAAATCAAGGACACGGAATCAAGAAATGGTCTTTTTCTGAGGGAGATGAATAAAGAGAAAGACAGAAAAGAAAAATACAACCTTTTTGTTGCATAGCAGATGCGCTGTGTTTCTCTCGCTCGCTGTCTGGGCAGATAATGAATCAGGAATGTAAGTTCAGCTGAGGCAGCAGGCTGTGCAAACAGGACTTTACCCACTCTATCAGTGACCCACGTCCCGCCTTCAGCTCGCACACGTCACTTTACTGTCATTTTTCACTCGTCACTTTGTCACTTGTTCGCTAGTACACTTTATTTTTAAACTTTTTAAATATTTTTAAATTTTAACTTTAACCTCTTATTTGATACTAACCCATAGCCTTATTCTACTAACCCATAGTATTAGCATTTTACTTTATTTTATTACCTGTGCACTGCTGTCTTGTTGTCTATTGTTACACTATCTACTGTCACGCAACAACCGCCAAGTCAAATTCCTAGTTTGTTTGACATATTTTGGCAATAAATGTTTCCTGATTCCTGATTTGTTCCACCGTCTGTCTGTGTGTTTGTACTTGTGTGTGTTTTCAAAGCATCCTCTCAAAAGCATCACGTTTCCACCTTTATGGAGTCAATGAGAGGACACATTTCGCTCTGTAGTGGTTGCTTGCGGTGAATTATGAATTCAACCTGATCGACATCATTGCAGCTTGTTAATGATCCCATGGTCGTTTAACAAAAGTTGCATTTGAGGAATTTAACTTTTCAGAACTCTTTCCTAGGCGGGCGCTTCTCGCCCGTGGGCTTCTTTTAAGGTTTCATTGAAAGCGCTCAATAATTGAACAGCAGTTCTGCAGATGTGCGGCTTCTCTCCGTGGTCATTGGTATTCTCTTTCTCTTGTCCTTATCGAGTGCAGTGAATGATGCAGGCGATGGGGGGGGTCGAGCCTCGCGGCATCCTCCTTGTTTACCCATCAGGTCCATGCACAGAGAGGCATCAGCATCGGCTACGGAGGGAAATGAAACAAGAGTGTGGGAGACCAGAACAGGGGGAAGAGCAGGGAGGTGAGAGAGCAACACAGTAGTGGACAGAGGAGTCAGGGTTGGGGGAAGTGGAGCGAGCAGCGAGGGGGGACACTGAAAGGTGTGGTGTTCCCTCTAGCTCACCCCAGCTCATTAATTTTCTCATTTAGTCAGAACAGTGGAGTGTGCGAACAAGAACGGGGCCTTGCCTACTAATGAGGACAGGATGAGACGAGCAGACAGCTTCTACAGTGTGTGTGTGTGTGTGTGTGTGTGAGATTGACAGAGGCAATGGGAAGTCCATGAAGTGGAGGAAAAATACTATCTTTGTGTGGATATGTACAGATTAAACAACCTAGCTGGACACAAACTAAAGATCATTGTTCATCTAATTTATTGATCAAGCTGCATTTTATGGCCAAAAGTTAATGGTCACTTGTATACAACTGTATGTTTTGATACTATACGGTTTGGGTTTTGTCTTTTTGAGAAATATGTATCTTTCAAATCAGCTCAGTAACCACTTTTTTCAGTTAACTGTGTGCTTCACAACACTCCCGCGCACTAACTTTCTGTTTCAAATTCCCAAGTAGTTTGACCCGAGTTTGCAATCTGTCGTGTGCATATACCGGATTTCAGTCGGAGAAAGAAGAAAAGTGCGTCATCAGCGATCCTGGTGAAGTGAACCAATGAATATCAAATGGTTAGTTGGGTTGACGACATCGTCTCTCAGTTCCGACTGTTGCCGTGGCAATAAAACCACTCAATTAAAGACCAGCAGTAAATGTAGCTTTTTGTGGTTCCTCCGGCCATTCACACGCCCAAACACAAACAGACACACATTCAGACTGAAACGGCTCCACTTTAACTTGCAGCACTGACGAGGACATTTGATGGCAAAGCACCTTATTTATCACGCTCCATATTTCACTCAGGAAATTGGCGTGAAATGTTGCGGTAACTATGTCACTAGTTGGAAGTAACGGCTCCTTTAAATACTTTAAATCAGGAAATGAACAGTGCTCCAACCCGGACTATAACTCTTTAGCCACACAG